CTACTAGCCGGGAGGTCGCGGGTTCGAGACTCTTCGGAGTTTCGTGAGATGCGCACTGCTGATGATTCCCAATAAGGATGAAACAGCTGTACAGTGCTTCTCGGCTTTTCAGCATAGATTGGCTTCACTTACAGGACGAAATGTCAGGCTTTACTTTGATCCGTACCTTCATGTGCCACCAGATGATGAAGGTCTAACATACAATTTTCAACTAATTGGTGTATATTAGATCCGTTTTGGGGCAGAAAACAGAGTTTGTTTGATATGTTAAGTGATCACGATGCTTGCTGTAGAGTTTGTTGGTGCAACCAGTCCAAAGAGACAACCCACGAAAATACATACTTACTTTTCAAGCGAATAGTCCGTAGCTTTCACCACTCCTTAGTCGCTACCTTAATCACGTGCAACCAGCACCGAAAAACGAACGGGTAAAATTCAGGTTAGAAAGACTTTAATTAGAGGATAAGAACCACGTTGCGAAAGTTCACGCTCTAAAACAACCAGAGGCTGTAATCACCCAGCGACGTCACGGAATATAGGTAGCCAGGTGCATTGCTTGGTTGTTGATCTGTTCGCCGGGTATGACAGTTGGAAAACGTTGTAGTTGCAAACTGTTCAACCCCAATCGAGGTGACACAATCAGTGCGGACTTTAATGAGTCCTCGCTCAACTAACAATTCATCCATTATCTACCGTTAAAAAAGCCACGTGATTCGATTTCCTGGATGATATGGTACGTCAAATGGAGCCGAATTTCGTTGGCTTGCTCATAGTGTGTTTGCAGAGAGTTGTCTGTGGTTTTTAATCTAATCTATTATTTAATGTGGTTAAACTCAAATCTCTTTGGCCACCCTATCTATTTCAAACGACGTCTTCACTTAGTAGTGTGGGAGCGCATGCCCAAGCACGCTTTCGTTGGATGAACATGAGTAGTAGATATGCCTTGAGGCGATTCTACGAAAACCAAATGAGGAGATAAAAATGATGTCATGGTTACCTGAAAATAAAAATCAAACTAAACAGCTACAAATCGTGAAAAACGACTGGGAGTATTTGTTTCCGTACCAAGGTTAATAGAGAATGAAATCGTCAACCATATTCGTTCAAGTCCATTGATTATTTTCAACGTTATATCCTGATTCCACATAATAAAATGAAGACCGTTTGATTGACTGCCACAGGGTTTATCCAAAATTAATTTTCCTAATCTCTGTTCACTGGTGCCCAGCTTCAAGTGATTCCTGTTACTTGACACTGATTTCATTCTGAATGGAATATCCTCAATTTTATAGAAGATCCTTTCAGAACCTAGGAGTCAAAAATTTAGAGCAGACAATTTTAGGTGGGCATTGTTACACTTTGTTCCCAGGATTTCTTCTGGAGACTTCGAAATAATTTCTGAACCTAGTCAACTGCCACCTTTTTAGTGATACGGCAAAACTTCGATTTACGCATTTTTCATTCATCTTTGAAAAGTAGTATAGGAACAACCTAGTCTGCTGTCGAATTGGGGCCAACTTTATTGGCATGCACCCACGCCTAGATGCCGTCGAGACATCGGTTTATCAGGTTACGCCTGAGCAGTCAGATTGCCGACCTTATCAGAAACGGCAACATTCAACGCTATATAATTTGACAACCCAAGTTACTATCTCATAAATGATTGAGATACGCTTTAAAGAAGATTTTTGTGTGCCGCAAGTGTCAACGTGAGGTACTTCGTATCCATATCGCACAAGAGCTCATATACTCGCGAAATACATCCGTTTTTTCCAGCGTTACCAGTGGGAACGGTAAAAAGTTACAGTGTGAACGCTAAAAATTTGTTTCCCTTTATATGAATTTTAAAAATCCTCATAGGATCTGCCTTATTAAGTGGACAATAAGCTTGGAACGTTAGAAAATGCAGACAACCGGTTATATCCGTATAAGGGACCGCTGACTACACTGAAATTTGGAAAACAACTAGGCAAAATGGAGATATTCTTCGAGAAACTAGAATAAAAATTCTCGGCAGTATTTGGAGTCTGTATCAATAAATGACCCCATGATTCCTGAATCTAATTACCAATAGATGCGGTCATTCAGTGGAGGGGTTGCAGTACTTCAAGTAAAATAGTTGAAATTGATGTGTGCCGTTTGGTTTCAAACTGGGTCGCTTGAACACGCTCAGGATATCAGTCGGTCGGAAAGGTCACCTGAATCGAAGTACAAATAGTTTGTTATAGTGGCAGCATGAAATACTGTGTTCCGTACACTACCGGCTTTAGTCCGTTGTGTTTGTGAAATCTTCTATTGGAAGTTCATTCCGTACTGCATGTCAATACGGCACACAGAACTAAGTGACAAAATAAGAACGAAGTGAAAAACAAAGCCCATTTTCAATTCCAGCGCATCTCCTAGAGGTCATCGGTTATCACTGTTGCACACGCTGCAGAGGCAGAATGTTTTAGGTTGTCTACAATGGTAGGCAAAGGTAAGAAACAGTGAACAGATCCTTGTCTTATTTATCTTATTGTGCTTCGAACAAATGCTCACCTGATACGGTTTCTGTGTTTCAGTAGCTAGTAAAAGATTTGAAAACAGTTTTAAAAAAAGACATCATTACTTGGAACTGAAAGGGTTTTCGAAAGTTGGGGACCAACAGCAATAGCCGATACAAACAACAGAACCTGACCGACGTCTAGCGTTTTGTATGCAATTTCTGAGGTTCAAGTTGGACGTTCTCATGTTGAGTGTAGGGTGACTTAGTTAAAGCGGCCCCAAACAGCTGGTTAGGCTGAAAAGCGCACAACTGCATCAAGTAGATTCATGATATTCAGCGAATTTGAGCATAATCTATCGTTGACCGATTGCTTCCATAATAGCTTCTAGCATGAAGGGTGTCAATAAACGGGCATGCACGTTCTAAATACTGTGGAGAAATGTTGTTGCAGGCAAACCAGGCGAATTTGTCTGCTGATGAAGTTCTACACGCAGCGGATCCGAGGGTGGTACTCAACAAGGCAACAACTGACAACATGCGGTACATTGTCATCTAGGAAGGTTGAATTTGAGGGTTCGATAACCCGCAGTCACCATGTTTGGAAATTTTCGAAATTTAATGGATTTCCTGTGCTGGTTTTCCCATTTTCCGAATTTTTCACTCTGTTAGCCGAGTTCAGTTTAACCAGGATATAGGCCATAGCATCACCTGTAATTTCACGCTAAACGCAGTTCCAGGTTGACAGTTCGAACAGTTGATATGTGGAGGGCCAGTCTTATAAAAAAAGTAGTTGTTTCCATACCAAGTGGCTCAAAAAGTGGAAACGAGCCTACCCAGCACTTTAGGATTTTACCTCACAGCCAGTTCGCATCCTCGTTGCCAAAGTAGCTTGGCAGTCCATGCAGCATCGCTGTACGCACGCACAGTGTTCAGTGAGGTCGCATGTACTTCTTTCGATTTCAGATTTAGTCACCTGAAAGTGGTTGTTCTTACTCTTATGAATCGGAACGAACCGTAATAGCTTGACCGTTGTGGATGCAAGCAAATTTTCTCGTCTTAGTTTTGTCCAAAAGCCAAGATCACGAGAATTAAAAACATTGGCAAATGACAACATAGATCCATTGACTTTTCCTTTAGCAGCGGGTTTTAGTGCACCCACTTCAAATGTCGAAGTAATGGTTAAAAATATCCAAAGAGGAGAAACAGGGGAAAGCAATAACTAATCATTATAGCTTATTTTACAGCTCACAGACAGAACACTTTTGGTTCGATTCGAGTTCAGTTCATGCGCCAACCGCTATCCACCACCAAGAACCTGTTTCGGAAAAAAAATTCGAGGAGGAATCTGATCCTAGCTCTCGGACGGGGAAACAATGTAAAAGATGGAAGATTTGCGTGTTCTCAAATACCAAGTATTTTATGGGGAATACTCAGGGGTACGGAAACCACCAATGAGACTGGTTATGACAATTAACGCTAAAATGCCCTAGAGGCTAAATTCCGAATCCTCCTGTTCGATCCCTAAGGATGCGAATTAAAAAAAAGACAAACGACCTACTTTTCGAGAAATACACTCATTTGCAAATCAATTTGGTTTCCACGGGAGACTCAACTGAATCTCCCGTTTATGATGTTCTACAACTAAATCTGCTGCACACAGGCCGCCTCATGTTTCAGTTGGTACGATATTCGTACTGCGCATATGGACACCATTAGTAGTACTAGTAAACTACCCATAACCAGTTGATGTCATATAACTCTGTAAAGAGAAATATCTGTAGGCGTAAACTTCTGACGATTTCTTCCTAATAGAATTGACCAATGATAATCGAGTAATGGAGCATTGCAAAAGGGTGCTGAAAAAGCATTTTACTTGGAATGCAACTATCACATTTCCCCGTTTGGAAGTTCATAGTGCATTTGAAAAGAGTTTCCTTTATGAAAATATAATGCGATATCTCGAATATCGTGCCAACTGAAACATGAGGTGGCCTGTTTGCAGCACTTTCAGTTGTAAAATATCATAAGCGAGAGATTCAGTCGAGTCTCTCGTGAAAACCAAATTGATTTACGAATGAGTGTATTTCTGGAAAACAGTCTAATTTGGGTCCAAGTGGACAGAAACTCGGAGACTACACCTACCTGATGAGTCTCAAGAAGAGCGAAACCGGTGGTGGGCTGTCGAAGAGTTCTCAGTAACCTTGTGAGTAGTTTCCTTCATGAAAAGCAGACGACCTGTTTTTAATCCTCTTACGTCTTTTGGTATGAAAAAGTACATTTTCCAACTCGTACTCTTGCCCGTTGTGCGACTTATTTATTGAAGTGAGGGTGTTGAACGACCTAAGAGTATACGGCTCCTCGCAAAGCTGATCAGAAATGAAATGCACTCATTGAGATCGAACAAATTCTCGTTGAAACTAACGGCCGACGGAAAGATAGATTATCTCGAGAAATCTTGTTAAAAGACAGTCAGAAGACTGTCATTAAACATGACGCTATTATGTTAGCTAGATTGTGTTGAAGATGAACTCGCTTATTTCATTCATGGAAACCATTTACAAGTTTTACATATCTTCGACATTACTTCGAGTTTGAGCCGATCAAGCCCTGAATTTCCTTTCAGTCAAACTTGCACAACTGCCAATCCATTGCTACGCTCCAATGAGTTCCCTAACAACGCACTGATGATATCAACTCGATTGGTGATAAAACGTTTGCAATCAGATTTCCCAAATCAGCGAATAAACCAACGGCCATCTACGCTACCTAAGCTACCAACATTTCCTCTAAAGCACATTGGGATATATTGAAAATAGAATCAGAGGAAACATGAGGCGGCTTAAGCGCTGCATAAAAATTTGAAAAATGACCCAAACAAAAGATTCAGCAGAAATAGTTGTCGTGCTGTCGTAAAAACCCAAAGTGGTGTGAAAACGTACACATTTTTCGAACACCACCTAGTAAAACTTCAATATCAGTCACGAGCGGTAAATAACTTTGCCGTGGGTATACATTGTAGTGGACCCCGAAAGCCCTCTGTATGAAACTGAAGAGATCCCGCAACCACATTCTTGTCAGTTTTTAGGTTGTGGAAACGCATAACTCAATTGAATGACAGGTAAAAAACATCTGATTGAAATACTACAGAAAACACAATTTTCACAAGACGTTCACTTTTCATCATGATGCAAACTCCACGGCCTCATGTGAAATGACAAATCTCTTCTGAAGAAAAGCTATCACGTTATGAACGACGTCTCATCTATCAGATGCCTGGGATAGTAGAGCCCCATGCATCTATGGGTAAATTATCTGCTCCAAAAAAGTCCTAATTTTTCCCACGCAGAGTCGTAATTTTGCATAAATTCCGACATAACTACACGACATTTTCGCCGCACGCTACATAACTCCGGACTATTGAGCTTGCTAACGACGGAATTTGGTATAATATATGTTCACGAAAGGCGTAGCCTGTCTGGAAAATAGTCGCTGACACGCACCAACTCGTGTCAATCTAATGGCTCATCTGCTCCAAAATTTTTCTCCGCAGTTTCTGTTATCTGCCAACCAAGAAAATGAGTTTCTTTGGATATTTGGAGCAAGACGAAAAAAGTTATTTGGGCTTGTGTGATAAAAGTTCGTTGGTAGCTTATCTTCCTGGAAACAGTCAAGTGTTTTGCCTAACCTTTCATGATCCACCTAAATATCTAAAATCCTGTCTGAGTTTGAAATTAAGGTCATCATCATCATCATTGACAGCATGATATCGGCGTTCAACACCGATGCTTCACTGCCGTAACTGAAATTAAGTTGCTCTCCATTGACTCAGGAGGTTGCTGAATCAACCTCGCGACGGCTCGTTTTTTGGGACGAATTACTTCCGATTACCAAAAATGAAAGCGACTACTTCCTTTCATGAAGAGATATTTTGGCTGTCCGAGAAATGATAGGCGTAATCTGCGCAGAAATTACTGGAGTTGCATTTGTAAGGGTGCGAAGTGCGCTCAAATTACATCCTAGCGGTAGCCCGAAATTGGAACAGGTGCTGAGCAAATCAGCTACTGACGTGAACAACAGTGTCCATTTTCTCTATAATTCTAGGAAGTATTAATTTCCTGTGATCAGCCTTCGAGGTTCACTGTTCCGACTCAATGGGCATTCGAGTTTATCGTTGAACGGACATTGACTGACTTCAGTTAACTATTTCACCGAAAGAATCAACCACAGTAGATAAAATAGTCGGATAAAGCTGACTGGAACAAGAATCACACGTTTACGGTCGAATAAAAGCACTTCGAAGAATTCGTAGGCAGTTATGTTCGTTTGAAATTTCTGCTACAATGCTCAGGCAAATGATTTCCAAGAGTTAAACTCAAGAGTCTAAATAAGAAATTAATTCCTCGCGTTCAATGAAAATTTCGATATTCGGTGTTGTTAAGATGGATTCTGATCAGATGGTCAATTGGTAGATACAAGTCTAGTGCGGATGCCTACACGAGCATTCTAGACAAAGAAGCAAGACGTTGACAGATGAAAAGCAGACGCATGTGTACGCCGGACGAGTTTTGGCCTTATAAAAACTGCCTTGAACTTAAGCACTCTCAAAAGTGAATGACATCAAATCTCTCCAAACCCTCAAAATTCCTGCCACCATCGTGCCTTCAGGGGATTGTGTACCCAAAAATGAGATATTTCATAGAAGATTGGAGGAAGGCTAAAACAGCTTCCAAAACGGCAAGATATCATCATGGTGGACCACGTCGCGAGAAATCCCAGCCCTCAAATCTGCAGCGTCGTAACACAAAGACTAGGTATACAAAACTCGTCCAGCTGGAACCCGAAAATGAAGAGAACAACAAACCCTTAATAAATCAATATTTTGATGGTGTTTTGGGATGGAGTGATTTTACTACAAGATGTATGGTGTTGAAAATTATACCCGGTTTCCCCACCTCTTCAGTCTTTATGCGTTTTGACAAACTGTATCAAAATATAGTTGGGCCGGCCATTAAGTTACACAAAGAACCTTGGTATTTGCTGACCACTCTCGGAGTGACAAGAATTCTACTGATAAACATGAACTAAAGTGGCCGTGCAGAAATACCACAACTGTGCTCAAGACGAATGGTTATATTTTATGGGTAAAGTTGGAAAGTTGGCAAAACACGCACATTGTTAGGTTTCCTAGGAACCTATAGAATTTATCTTACTTTTCCCGGACAAATGTACAGATCTCAAAATTTTCTGAACATTAGAATTCGTGCCCCAAAAAGTTATTTCTCTGGATGCGAATTCTTTCAGAAAAGAACCTTACATTTACATTTACATTTCAGACGGAATCACATGGTTGCATGAGCGACAATGCTCTAACGAGGTCGAGGTCTGTGGTTTGGCGTTCAAATAAGATAAGCCTTCAGGTCACCACCAGGATATCAGCTTCCTCAGTTAGACTGAGCGGATTAGTGCCGCTGTATTGCATCGTTGCGCATTTTGGCATGAGGTTCTATTTTATCGCGTAACTGCCTGATAAGACATGACTAAAATGAAGGTCTGGTGAATGAAATAAAACAAGGCTGCGTGAGAAGACTGGGGATTGGCCTAACAGAGGACATCAGCGATAGTTTTTTCTTTCAAATGAAAGGTTTGCGTGGAATGTTATCGGAGCAAGAACGACAAAGTATCCCACGGACCAGTATTAACATAAAGCATTTATTTTGAAAAGTTTCCGGATTCCAAATTCACCAAGTGGTTATGAAAACTTCTCAAGAGTTTTCATTTCTTGACGTAAGACCATTTTATCAGGAATAAATTCTATCGTAGTGCAAGCACTATGCAGCGAAAATGGATTGTCTCAAAAGACATCCCTTGCGTTCTACTTCATATATAATAATTCATTCTATGCCGCCTTGGATCACTCTTTGCTTCCGCTCCTTGTCTGTCACGAAGGTTTTGGCAAAATAAATGGAATACTCAAAAGTCACTGATGTACGAAACGAACATGCAATGGTTGACACTGTCAGCAACAATGACAGGCAACGTTAGTGCCGAGGTGATGGCAACTTTTTTTCACCATCCTCCTTGCGAGAAAAATAAAACTATTCGCCTGTTTGCTTTATCTGGTAATTTTATTTAGTCACTTTGAAAACGGATAACTTCTATTAAGTTGTGAAAAAAATTTTAATAAATGGACTTCATTCTCTTCTACATGTGAGAGACGTTGAGTACACTTGAACCCGCTAATGTTTATCACAACAGAGGTTTTTTGCCCTTGATTGCAGTCAGCGCCTGCTTGTATTCGAAAATAACAAACTTGTGTATCATTTATCTTGGATGCACTATGAACTTCCAAACGGGAAAATGTGATAGTGGCGTTCTAAGTAAAATACTTTTTCAGTATTCTTTTGCAATTCTTCGTTAATCGATTACCATTGGTTACTTCCATTAGGAAGTGATCTTCAGAGGTTTACGCCTACAGATATTTCTCTTTGCCGAATTACACGACATCAACAGGTTATGGGTAGTTTGCTAGTAATACTACTGATGTCCATACGCGCAGTATTGTTATGTCTTGTAGATTTATACGTGTCTCTGTCCCCTTCGTCGTAGAACCTTTGAATGTGAAGAGTCTATTCAAATTCAGATATTTACTAAATATATACGAAATTTGGTGATCAAATATACGCACAGTCTTTACACAAGAAGCCACCGTTGTACTGGATCCTGTTCCAATCAACTACAGAAATGATTGCCTTCTTAAATATAAAACTTGCTTTATTTTTTATTATTAAAATGAACTAATCTGACGGATTTACCTGAAAATTCCCATTTATTGGCATTGCTCCACCTTTTCTAGACGATGCGGTTGTTTTTTAACAACCTACTCCCCACGCTCACTAAAGTGATCTCCATGCGTATCATGAGCAGACTATGAACCGACCGGTATAACCACTAGAGATTTAGGTATATTACTCGCAATTCTCAGGTATGCATTCTACAGGAGTGATATAACATACAGAAGAAAGTTCTCATCGTGGAAGGAAGCGTGCATTCATTGTCGTTATTTGTAAATTTCAATCCCAGTTTCGGTATGAAGTCCGTGCTGCAGATGAACGCAAAACCGCCATGAAAAACATCTTTTCCGACGGCATACCAGTAACCAACCATCCAGGCTATATGGAGAAAACTTTGCTGCTTACTGGCTCTCATTTATTTCCACCAGATCTTTCACAAGATTCGTTCGTTCACTCCTGATGAACTCACTACAGACGAATGGCGCTTGAATAATGCTGGTCTGCCGCCACGTATCTTAAACGAGAGTGAGAACAAATTAGTTAGCTCTTCCAATTTCACAATGTCCGCTTATATACGGCTGTTAGGAAGATTCTGGATATGTTCCTTCAACTTCTAATTGTCCTTCGGCAAGAGCTATCCTGAGTGACTGCCAAGAAAGGTCATAATTGGAGTTTCTGATCTATTCACTCATCCTGCTATCCTTCTCTTAGCGCAGCTGGCGTTAAACTAAGTTCGATTCTTGAGTTACCTGAAATGAGTGCCCGGTCACTTAGTATCGGGCGCACATTTTGCGAGTAAACATTGATCGTGATTAACAGCATGACAAGCGGGTCCTTGGAACCACAAACTTATCTAGCCGTATCAGCAAGGAGAGGACAGTGCACCTAAAATGTACCCTATATTTGCTATCACCTTTCACATGCGCACAGTATGATGGATGACATTTCCACGAAAAATAACCCTCTGGTGTCAACCAAACCAAAAGTTATTTCTGCTTGCATAGATCCCGCTTTTGTTTACACATAGCAATGGTCTCAGAAAAGCTCAGAGCTCTGCTGAACACGACATCGTATGCGATCGCTGAATCGATGTGACGCTTGCTCTCAGCCGGCCTACTGAAAGTGACGAACTAGGCTATGATCCTGTTTGGATTTGTTACGGTGTCGATGTAACTGATTGGTCCAAATGTCTTCGTACTCTCAAAACTACATGCTCTCCCCACCTCGGTCTTGCCTTTCCGTTCTGTTTAGGTAGGCGGTCGTATAACCCCAAGTGAGTTGGTAGACAGCGTTGGATTTGGCGTCGGCCAACCCAGCCGCGCACAGATGATGTCTCCTTGCGTGGTGACGAAAAGTTTGCAAGTCTATCGTCTAGCAGAACGCACAGATCAACTGCTAAATGACCAGCTAATAAACTCACCCGATCCACCAGTATTTGGACACACTGAAACAGAAATGTACGACGGACTAACCAGTGAAATTACGTCAGCACAGGAGGACGACTGTTCGAACGAGAGTGATGTGAATGTGTATCCCGCAACCGCCCACAACAAAATCTACGAAAACAAGCGATGACCATACTATGCATTAAAACAATAGGGTTGCACACTGCACTATCAATCAAGTTTTCCATTCAGTATTTTGTAAGAACTTTTAGCACCCTTATAGATGTATCTTCAGAGTAATAGAGCTATCTCTTATCAATTTAGGCAGCTTCTTATTCGTTGTGGTAGAATCATTCATGATTTCCCATTTCTCTTGAAGGCGAACCTCGAAAAATCTATTCATCCAAAAAACATCCTTCGGTTGCGCCAAACGTTTTCCTCCTGTTCTTCAAAGAGGCATCTCACTCCTAACGCATCTCCGCGCGTTCCTCTGAACGTAATAATTTGTATAATTAATATTTCTTCGTTGGCTTACGGCTAAATGGAGAAATTAGGGTTGATTCCTTAGATGTTTTTGCCAGGGAACCATACTTGACTGGAAGGTTTAAATGAGCCGTCAAACACCCGTTATCATTCCTAATGTATAATACCGAGTAAACAAAGGAGCGTTTACCATATAGCTATATGTTTATTCAGTTCGCTTGACGCATGTTATTCGTTCAAGTTTGTAGTCGTGTGTACCAAAATGCACCACTGTTTATTGCTTCGACGGCAAAACATCTGTCAGATATTTGCACAGATGCAGGTCGGATCTTACCCCGGAAGCCAACTAGGTCAGAAAACGTATTTTTTGCCCCAAACGGCCGATTTCACGCAGTCACAAAAATCGGGAACAAGTCGTTCGGTCCTGTTGTGTATGTTCTTTCGAAATCTAATTTCACCAAATAACGTTAGGAAGCCAACTAGGTCAGAAAACGTATTTTACGCCCCAAACGGCCGATTTCACGCTGTCACAAAAATCGGGAACAGGTCGTTCGGTCCTGTTATGTATGTTCTTTCGAAATCTAATTCCACCAAATGACGTTATATAGTCACATCACTCTCGTTTGAACGGGGGTGTTCCTGTTCTGGCGTAATTATTCCGATTAGTCCACACCAAAGGGAAGCACGGGACTCGAGTTTCGTCCTTATTAGAGCTCATCAGCAGTGTATATCCAAACCCCGTGCTGGAATTTGAACTCCGGAAGTCCTGATCGGCGGGTCAATCGATCGCCACAACCTGGACAGTTACTTGGTCGTCGTTCGATGAGTCGGGCACATCAGTCACATCGCTCAAGCGTGATCAGACGTGAAAATTCAGATGCGTCCAAAATGTGTTGGTGGGGGTGTTGGCAACTTGCTCGCCTCGCATGTCAAATATCCGGTGTTCAGATCTCAGCACGGCCATTGGATACGCACTGCTGATGAGCTCTAATAAGAGCAAAACTGGAGTCCATTGTTTCTCTTTAGTGTGAACTCACCGGAATAATTACCCCAGAACAGGAGGACGACCGTGTAAATGAGAGTGATGTGAATAGGAACAAAATCCCTATCCCGCAAAACCCCACAACTGGTAACAAATTTTCGTCTTTCTGTGCATCCTTACAAACTTTGGTGGACTCAGAGGTCAGCGATAAAAGTTCATGCTCACTAGATGATCACATTCATTTCGAAAAAACAAAAATACATTCAAATAGGAGAGCAACTGTCTATGATCAATTGACCTTTTGCGTGAATCACTGAACATGTATTCCGAGTATTGACATACCATTTCCATGCACCAGACAAAAGTATGTCCAACTTACGAAAACGACATAGGCCCCGTGAAGTTATCTGTGGTATGAATTCGGTTGACCGGACATAAAATTTTGGTCAATTACTGGTACATTACATTTGTACGCCTCCAAATCCAATTCTAAATTCGGAAAATTCGGTCCTTCAGTCTAAAGGCCGCCGTATTTGGTCCAAGGATAGGTCCCTGGCCGGCAAACAACAGCAACAGCCATGTCCAAATAAGCTGGATGGGGGCGAGATGGCTCAAGTGATTAGAGCGCAGAGAGTCCGTGGTTCGAACCCGACCTCTGCCTCTCGACTTGCCCAGTCTAGGCTTGGGCGACCTAGCGGTATCCTAGCCCTCTTGCAACCTTCGGGTAGCATGGCACCGAAAGGGTGCTACAGATGAACAATTTTTAAGCTGTAGGCATTAACGTTTTTCACAGGTAAATGGTTAAGAAGAAAGAAAAGAAGGTAAAATAGCTGAATAAAATTGAGTTGTACAGCAATCAGGAGACAGAACCGAGTTTCATGAATTTACCGTAGTCATAATAAAGTGCTCGCTGCTTGACAGCTTTCACGTACAAAAGTGACATCCAAAAGTCAGCTTGTCAAAAACTCATAGCACTCTTGTCTAGAATTCGAAATAAGTCTGATGGTAACATCTATTATTCACGAGAACTGATCATCCACGGTTGACGTCCCGATATATCGATTACTTTAAAAGTGGTCTGATGTTAACACTCATAAGAATGTCAAGTCGTTTGGCTTGCAACCCATTTCAACCACTTGCCGCCTGGTGATGATAATGGCAATCGTGCTGGATGGTTTATCTTAGTAGCTGCTCCCGCGAATTGGTTCTAACAGAATTCGAAAAGCTTCAACCTATCTGTACTCTTGGTACCCTTCTGTTCCATCTATGTGTTTGTCACCGCAGCTACAAAAGAAATTGTTGCCTCCCGGCAAGCCAAAAACAAGAGCTGGAGTTCGATACCCTATATTGTGAGGCTCTACTTTCCAGCTAAACATCCTGCAGTGGAAACGTCAAAAATGCAAGTTACGTTTCCACCATGCATATCATCGGCTTTTCCTTCCATTTCTAACTATACAACCTTCAAGGCTCAACGAATAAAAGTTCAGTGAAAGTTAAATATTGATTGGTTGTGTACACAGACAACCGCACAAAAGAGTGGGGTTAGCTGTCAAAAGACCAGTCGTCGCACAAGTAATCCTTGGGCCAACGTCACATTTTTAAACAAAATATCTCGTGACAAATATGTCTATGCATGTCAACAAATACATTCATTTGTATATCATTTTGGTTGTCACGGAAGACCCAACTGAATCTCTTGTTTATGATATCCTTCAACTGAATTTTCTGTACAAACACAGTCTCATATTTCACTCGGTACGACATTCGAGAAATTGCAGTATAGTTTAACAAAAGAAACTACTTGCAAGGTAGCTGAAAGCACCTCGATGGCCCATGACCGGTTTTGTCCTTCCTGGATCTCTTCAGGTAGGCGCAGATCTCGAGTTTCCGTCAAACTCATGTTCTACTTGAACCTAAATTTGGCCGGCTTCGACAGATGTACTCATTTGGATTCAAGTAGAACATCATTTTGACGGAAACTTGGGGGCTGCGCCTGAGTGATGAGCCCCAAGAAGGGGGAGAGCGAAACCGGTCGTGGACTGTCGAAGGGTTTTAAGCAAATTCGTGAGTAGTTTCCTTCGTGAAAATCTCCATGCATAGTTGAAAAGCTGAAGAAGCATGTAGCTCATCCCACTTGTGCCCAACTACATCTCTCTTATCAAGAATTTCCAATCTGGACATGAGCTACATCCCGGAAAGTAAAGACATTATCGAATGGAGAAAGCCAAACTTTGCACTTGTAAGGGGGGAAGCGATGTCAATTAGTTGATCCGTTTTGGCTAGCAGTAATCGCATTTTCCAGTTATAGGTGGTTTTGGAAAGCGTCAGCGGCAAGTTAGCTTAAAGAACCGATCGTATGGCGCACTTTCCTCCGATTGTGATTTTATGGACCCATTGTGTACCACCATAGTTTCACATATAGGTACCGTTGTAGGTGGTCGTGTTTGCAAGCAGCTGGTCAATAAATATGATTTATGAGCAACAGATGCTAGCGGTTCGGTGGCGTTCATATACCAGGGCAATCCTGTTGCAACCATGTGGAGAAAAGACGGTGAATCTGTTTTATAATAGCCAGATTTCGTTACGGAATCAGTGAAGATCAGGGTGCTAATATGTATCGCTCGGAGCACGTCGACTGCAATCCATACTCAGTTCGATGGTACACAGTGAATGAATGGCACTCATTTGGTACTCATCAGTTACTACTAAGGCAACGTCGGCACTCTAGGGGTTCCAAGATGCGTAACCTTAGGACGTAATTATGCTATCCTCTTGGTGGAAAATTTGTCAGTCAGTTTGAAATTTCGCTGTTTTGTGTTTTATTTATTCTAAATCGATTGATCAAGAACTAAAATACGGATATATGTTGATCCGATAAGGCAAACCCAGGGCTCCTCTTGAAATATCCTTCATGGTAGAGCTTAGAAACCAAGAAAATCTGACAAAAACCTTTGATATCGTTATAAATGTGACATTTATGCTAGTCAACCGCCCTTAGTTGTACCTAGTAAGACGCCGTGAACGTAGTGAATTCGGACTTTAGCATAATCAACCTGACTTCACCGTAACACACTGCTTTGTGTGCGAGTTCTGTTTGTTTAACAAAAAGATACAATGAAGCAATTTCGGTAAAACAAGACATTTACAAATACAGGCTATGTGAAACCTGCGTACATATTCCTGTACTAAAAGAATGGATTTGAAAACAGACGAACTCGAATAAAATTATCCCAGCTAGAAGATTTCCCGATGATCGCTTCAAAAGAAAGATGAGCTTAATGAATTTATCGAACTGTGCCAGAGTCCGAAGCCTCGCAAACGGGCGAGCTTGTACCGCTCGCATGTTATCATGTCAAGAAACGATCCACCTACCCTCGAAATAAAAGATTTTATTTTGCAGAGCAAGTGAATTAAGCAACAGTGGTAACAGTTCGTGGTCAAACATGCATATGTGTCTTGTTTTTCCGAAATGAGCCTTAGCTCAACTGGCTGCAAAATAGCTTTTGCTATCTTGGAATTTCTACTGGCAAGACGTCAACGTGTCTGACCAGGAATTACAAACACACACACCATAGTGTTTTACCCTTGTTTCTTAAATTTTTCCCGGTCTAGTTGGCCCCAATAGTACCAATGTGTACATCCGAAGCAGAAAACGCACAATGGGAGTCCAATTTGGCTCTCCTAAGAACTCATCGTTTGTTCCTATCGTAGCCCAGAGAGGACAG